AAGCCTCTTTAAAAAAAAAAAAAAAAAAAAAAAAAAGTTTTCTTGCAGGATTTCATGGAATAGATTATCAATGACCTTATGAGTCTCTTTGCCTTCTGGGATACCAATTATCCAGATGTTTGGATCTTTGATCATATCTAGTATTTCTTAAATATTATTCTCATTTTGGGGGGGGCAATTTTCTCAGTCTTTGTGGTGGATTTTTCTAGGTCAGCAATGTTATCTTCTATGTCTGAGATTCTATTTTCTGTATGGTCTAGTCTGTTTTTAATACTTTCAAGGGAGATTTTGACTTCTTGTATTCTAACCTTCATCTCTAACAGATCCATTTGATTCTTTTTTAAAGTGTGTAATTCCTCTTTTAGCTCTTGCAAGAATTTCCTCACCTCTTGGAACTCATCAGCTCCTTTCTCCTGCCTCTTCTTCAGTTCCTTGTCTCTCTTCTCTTCCATCTCTGTAAGCTTCATCATTATGAATACTCTAAATTCTTTATCAGACATTTCCATGATTTCCGTGTGGATAAAAAGGAATTATTTTTTTTCCTTGGAGGAGAGGTATTTTCTTGCTTTCCCATATTTTTTGTGGCCCTGAGGTGATTTCTAGTCATCTGATGGATGGTGTGTTTCTTCCTAATTCTTGAAGTTCAATCTGAGTGTTTAGGAACATGCAGAAAGAAATGATCTGGCATCTCTTTGCTGTTCCGTTTTCATCCCTTTGTGCAGCAGATTCAGTGGATATTGAGGAATATGTCAACCCTAATAGTGTTTGGATGTTTGGCTATGGCTCCCTTAGATCCATCTAGAAACACAGAGAATGGAGATTGAGGAGCAGAGTGATGAGATAAAAGAAAAAGAAATGGAAACAGAGAGGGGGGGGGAAGGAAAACAAACAAAAAACCCCAAAGAAACAGAGAAAAAAAGAAGAAAAAAATTTCACGCAAATTTATAAGTTCTCAGGAGCCATGGAAGAGTCTTCTGAAGGCCTGCCCCTTGCCTCTCCTGGATGGGTGGGGGAAAGGGGATTATTAGCAAAATAAAGGAGGGGCTGAAAGCCAGGAGAATACTTTACCTTAAAAAAATTTTAAAAAGGAAAAATTACAAAAAAAAGAGAAGACAGAGACAGAGGCAGAGAGAGACAGAGACAGAAATAGAGAAAAGTCTAGAGGAGTTCCCTACCACTCGAGTTTGTGAACTGGAGGCTGAATTATCAGTAGGAAATCTTCATTTCTTTTTTTTCCCTGAAATCACAAGTTCTCAGGATCCATGGAGGAGTCTTTTCCTGAAGGCCTGCTCCTTGCCTCTTCCTGAGTGGGTAAAAATTAAACTATATTTGAAACAAATATGACAATGTGAAATTTGAACTCAAGAAAGTAGAAAGATTTAGAATAGGAGAGGGAGTCTAATGAAATTATTGAAAAGCTGATTGCTACCTAGCCAATTCAGCTGCAATGGCTCACAAAAGGAAAGAAAAAAGGTCAAATCCAAGTTAATTTTGCTGTGAGAATACTTGAAATAAAAAAGTATTGCTTCAGTCTATTTTGACATACAGTCTCATCTGCTCTTTGAGGGACTATTCAAAAAGTTTTTATTTTATACATATTTAAAATTTTAATTTATAGCAAATAAGATAGACAAACAAGATAGTTCATTGAACTAGGAAAAAGAAAAAATTTAAAATGTCTAACAACTGATTGTACCTTAAAATGTATGCTGAGTTTTCCATCTGGATGGCATGTCGTTCTCTGTACTGATGCGATCCAGGCAAGCCCATGCTTCTTAGAAATACAGCCTATCTTTACCGACTTTTTCCTATGCAAATATTCAGTCTAGTGTAGAAACTACAGAGCAAAAAAAGTTTATATATTAAAGCACAATTTAGTCTTTTTAAGTAAGAGCTAAAATGATGTTTTATATTGTCATTTTATTTGAACCACAGAGTCCGACTTAGGGATTCTTTGAAATCTACATGTAGTCACAGACCTGGATAGCTGTATGAGCATGGGTGGATCAAAGCAGTGTGGTTTTTTTTTAGATGGAAAAAAAGCTAATTAAATTGCTATCATTTCTCAATCAACAGAGAATAGCCAATGATTGATTTGGAAAGGAGGGGGAGCCTTTCCTAAGCTGGTTCTAATTTTTTTTTTTATTAGATCTGTCTCCTGATGATTAACACAGAAATTCCTCTACCAATTATGGACTCTCTTATAAATGAGTCTTATAATTTACAGCTTTCCAGAAGCAGCTTCAACTCAAACTTGTGTGTAATTCACTCTTCTGGTTCATATCCACTGCATCTCCCTCACCTTTCCCCCACCCCCAATCCAGCCTCTTACATGTATTTAATGCTCTACGCAGCATGTTTCCCGAGTCAGATAGACTGGCATGACATGCTGAGTATAGTGCTGGCTTCCAAAGATCCATTCTGATGGCAAATAGGGATATGCCTAATAAAGTAACTCCACAGGTCAGTTTCTACTCTTTCTTTCGCTTGCTTGCTTGCTTGCTTGCTTTCTTTCTTTCTTTCTTTCTTTCTTTCTCTTTCTCTCTTTCTCTCTTTCTCTCTTTCTCTCTTTCTTTCTTCTTTCTTCTTTCTTTCTTTCTTTCTTTCTTTCT